ATATATATATATATATATATATAAATATGTGCAGCAAATTTATGTATTATATACTATATCAAACATATTTTCTGTAGAAAAATATTCAGTCCAAAACTGTTCCTGGAGAATAGTTCAAATGTGCGGGTGGGGAGTGTCACTTACATTCTGAAACCCTACAAGTACTACAGTGTGAATGGTATCCGAGGAGCTTGTGAGCTATGCCAGAACATACCTGCCTTAGAATACTCTGTCCATGGTGTACCCACGCGGAGAGAGAATCCACCATTTCAGCCACAGAAAGAGGCTGAAAATCGGGGTTTTCTTCATATGTATCTCTTCCTCCTTCTGCCTCCTCCTCTTCGTCTCCTTCTTCCTCTGCAAACTGGTAAAATCCAATGGGAGAGATGTGGGTTCCCGCTGAGATGCGAGCTATCTGCGCACGCAGGTAATTGGCCTCATTTCCAGGGAACGGAGGAAAGCTCACAACAGGAGCATCCAGCCTACCAGTGAAGAACTTCTTGATTTTCCTGGCACAGACAATCTGGGCTGGTGTCACTGGAGGCAACTTCACCCAGGGTTTGCCTGGTTCATTACAGACAAAGTAGACATATTTATTAGCCCCAGTCCCATTTTCTTCTTTTGGGATGACAGGTGGGGGCTTATAGGTGGACTTTGGTGGTTCATCTTCTTCTTTCTCCTCATCTTTGTCTTCGACCTCACCCATCCCTTTCCCTCCTTCCTCAGTACCTTCTTCCTCTTCTACTTCCGCGTCCTCTTCCCCCTCACGGTACTGTACTTCAGCTATAATATAGTTCATCTCTAGGCCCAAAATTTTGCCCCAGAAGCGACAGGTCTGGATTGGCTGAACACTAATAAGTTTTTTAAGGGCAAGGAATATGTGAAAGGATTCATCTTTGCTCAAGCCAATTCCAGCCTGTTCAAAATAAAAGGCTGTTTCCATCACATTAGGTAGAGGGGTCTCTCCCTGTGAAAGAAGACCTGGAGTTAGAGCTGAAGAACAGTATATTAATCTGTTTGAAAAATTAAACATGTTATCCACTGAATGTTATACTTCACTTTCCTGTAGTCCACTTGTTCTCTCAAAGTGTTTTGCACACATTGATTCACTACATCTTCCACTACCATTTACAGAAATTAAAAATGCCATTTTAAGGGTACAAAAGACAACACAGATGAACTGCAGCATTTAGAATACAGGATTTAAAAATTCAAACTCACTTTAATTGCTGAAAAATAAGGAAAGTCAGAATTCTTGCACAGGATCTCCAAAGGACTTCAGTGCTAGGGCATGTCAGCTATGTAAGAGACCTTGATGGTTGCAAACCATGTAAATGTGCTTCCTTGTATTTGTGGTAGATGCATTTGGGGAAAATATAATACATATCTTCTGTGCTTAGACACCAGACCAGCAGTATTTGTCTGGAATTCATGTTTTTCTTTTGAACACCTTGGCATAAAGCTCCCTGAATTTCTTAAAATACTGGCCCCTGCTCTTACTAAAGTCCATAATAAGACTGCAGGTGGCTTCAGTGGAAGCAGAACTAGGCCAATACTGAAGATTTCATTAAATATTTCCATTCTCTATCATCCTTCTCTCATTTCACGGGGGTAGGTGATTATACCACACAGACAAAGATACTCGAAGTACACAGCAGGGTAGGGAATACGGAAGAAGTAGTGCTAATTTCATATGGAATCTCTTTGGCCCTTCCAGGTTTCTTCTATCAAAGCAAGATAGACAGGAGTACGAAAAATGCAAAATTCCTTTCTGAAATACCCTACTTTTTTCCATTTTTACCACGGTATACTGTTACTGTAAAATAAGTAATAGGATATGGAAAAGATGAAAGACTATGTCTTCTGTTGTTATTATTTGTATTCTGCAATGGCAGTTCACTTGAATATATACTGGTAACTTCATATGAAAATCAGCATCTTGTTCATTAGTTTCCCTTGGTTATT